CGTAGAAGGAAGGTTCTAGTTCTCACAACGCAAGCCAAACAGAGTTAATGTCATTGAAATTGGAAAATGACCATTTTACATCTTTATGGAGTTTTCCTTAATTTTGAGTGACCAACAAAGAAAGGTTCTCAGATCGAGAACGAGTCAAAAGCTGGTTGTAGCAAAACCCGTTCTTGATTTGATATCAAAATAGGCTCACAAGTAGTTTGAAATTTACCTTGCAGAGACAAGATTGATCAAACTCAACTCTGTTAAAAGGCTACAGTGTCGCTAGGGAGTTGAGAGGACCTTTGATACGACACTGTTCTTCTCGTTTCACAACAATACTGAGATGTGAGATTGAATGTATCTAGCACACTTATTGTTCCAGAAACTTTTTAAATATCTCCAAGTGGAATATTTTCTTTCATAAAACTCACTAGTCACTCAAAATAATATATCTCCAGTGAAAGGAGACAATACATAGCGATCCTTCTCATAACAATCCAATTAGAAATGAACACAATGGTTTGATTGTTGGATGGAAAGGAAGTTTCAGTGAGTATTGTCAAGGCTGTGGACCTGATTCAAGTTTGCTAGTGAAACTTTTCCGACTTTAATTTCTAAAGCAAATTCGTCGTTCGTTTTAGTTGGACAAGTGAATTTCTATTATCTACGTTTCTTTTTTAAGCTCTGCAAATGTTTCTTATAGAACAATCCATCGATTCCTGAGCTCGGAGTTCCATGTAGACTGTAGTTTCTTTTAGTATGTACAAATTTTATTATCTCTTTGGAGTTTATATACTTTATGCAAGACTTGTTGTTATTTCACTTCTGGTCTTGTATGGAAATTTGAGATTAGCGTTGTCGAGAAGAGAGCAAAGACAAAGGAATTCAAGCTGTGGTTGAGTGTTGGTACTTTAGTCAACTAGTTGTTTCACAAGTTTGTTTATTTCTATCGATAATTGTTTCAGAGCAGTTTTGCGTATTTATTAGCAGTTGATAGTCTAGTCTTGTAGTCTGTCGTTGAGATTCAGTCTTTGGGTTGATATTTCAAAGATATTCTGCAAGAAAGCAGTTAGACACTCCGTTGAGTGTTTTGTTCAGTACACAGAATTATATTCCGTATACTAGTTTTCCTTGTCTTCTATATGACTCTTTTCAAGATGGAGAAATCGGTCTGTAACTCTGCAACAGGCATTTCTCAGGATAGCATAGGAAAGTCTTGAGTCCATCATCGCTTATTTTCAATGATTGTTTGTATTGTTGTGCTTTTATATCAATTCTCTATTGATTCGAATATGTCTTTTGAAATATTATGGATGTGGGGCTTTAGATAACGAAAGCTGAATAAACTTGTATTTTGAAAGCAAGGGAACAGTTTTTAGTTCAAAATATACTCAACTTGTTGGGAACCATGAAATAAAGCAAGCAAAAGAGCACTGCTGAAAGTCATGGTTGTGTTCACCTGGGTAAAGAGTTGTGACGATGGCGACTGTAGCTACTAGTCCGTTTTCGAAAAACGCTTTGTTTTTATGAATTAATGGTTCTACCGAGGGTGAAATATGTCTAAAACGATATGTGAGTAGTAAGAGTGATAAAGTTGGAACTAGTATTGATGGTGTTTCTGAAAGGCATCTATTGCAAATCGTCTTTGGTCCTTATATAGTTGAAGAGGAGGGTAACAGTAGTAGTACGGTGTGAATGGGAAACAAGGCGACTTGTGTAAAACAGTATTTGCCATGCCAAGAGTGCTGCTGATCTGCTTTTCTTTTCTACACACTGAAAGTCATGCTGTTGAAAATAGTGGTAGTTGTAGCTGTCAAAAAGTGAAAAGGAGACTTCACATTTTGTACAAACAGGTTGTGTTTGGATAGTATACAAAGTAGCTCTGAAAGAAACTCATGAAGGATTGGGAGAACGTGAACAATATTATACGAGTGCACATATTGATATCATCGTGTCCGACTAGAGCTTTTGGTTCGACTCTGAAGATAAAGTCCAACTTTTGGTATACAATTCCTAGAAAGCATACGCAGACGAACAAAGTAGTTTGCAAATACATTGACACGGACCTAAAACATTTTTCGATTATTGAGCAAAATCAAACCGTTCGTTACTACTTGAAATTCAACCAGAACAGCAACAACAACAAATATGAGCCCGAGCCTAGTACAGTATGGCAGAGTCATCAATTCTACAAAGATAATGACTTGTGTTTCTATCTTTTACTGTTTTCTTCGTTGTTGGCATGACTGGAAAATTGTCATTGTTTTATTTACTTGGAATTGTAAAAAGACAACAACAACGACAACAAGAGAAAGCCATAGTTTATTGGTTAGTAGTATATGGAATATTAATAATAGTTTTTGTCATAAAAGTACGAATTTGACCTATTTTTTACTATAAAGGAAAATTGTATTGTTGACCTTACAAAATAAAAGGGCATTATTTGCACACTTGCGACTATTTCTGTACCTTACTATCAGTAGAACTACATACGGTCCTGATTTTGAACAACAAATAGGGTATCTAGTTTCTTTACTGGTCGATTTTCGATTTTCTTGTTTCTGTTTGAGAAAAATCTTTATCTTTTGATTCTTGAAATGAACTTGTTTGTTACCTCATGATAGTATGATGAAGCAACTAGTCGTCATTTCATTTTTGAAAACGCCGACGTACAACCTTTCAGAAGCTTTTTTCATTGGAAATCCCGATTACAAAGAATCTCTTTGTCCCGTGATAGTTGCGTTGCATTTGCAGGGATAGGCAATTGATAGTCCAAATGATCAATTCGAGACAATTTCGTCAGTTGAATCAAGTAATCTTTGACAAGTGAACTTGCAGTATCATGAAGCTGTACAACATACTGTTTTCTGTTCTACTACTGATTTATCTTGATATATTGTATTGTTCTTATGTCGAAACTAAACCTTTTGACTATTTATGCTTCAGAACAATTCCATCTTACTTCTTCGACCCTAAGACCAGCTTCATATGGAGTAGTCATCTAGCTGATAAGGATAAGATAATATCTCTATCTCGTTTTTTCTGTTCTTTATCGGTATAATTGTAGAATGGTGAAGATCTTGTTTTTTAGAGTTGTAATATGTTCTTAAAAGAAAAGGGATGAAGATTATAGAAAGTAGTATTCAAAGACTGCAGGATGATGTAAATTCGAAGAAGAAGCGACAAGATTGCAGCCAAAGTTCTCTATAAACGATTTGCTGGGAATAGAAATTGAACTTGTCTTAGCACGAAATACTGGTTGTTTTCCCTTATTCATATGAATTGTCATAAAAGACAAAAATTTATGTTTTACATAGTACATTTTTTTCAATGAAAGAATATAGCAAGGTTGGTTGAAAGAACTTCAAGGAAAAGAAGTAAATGAATGCTTCGCTGGCTTCACAAGGTTAGAATATCAGACCTATGATTTACAGATTTTGAGGTTGATTCTCACAAAAAGCAAGCAAAATCAACTCTGTGATTTTTACACAAGTAGCAGCAAAACATAAATTGATAGTCATGTTCTAACTTCAGGACTTTTATTGTATCCTTTGTTGCTTGAACTTTTTTTACAACCTTTGGTGGTTTTCATTCCCTCTTAATCTTGGACTATTACCACAATTGATTCAAGTGATAAATGACAATGTATTTATGCCGTACCAATACCTTGTTTCTATTGATGAGTTGAGTTGAATCTAATTTCAGAGTGATAA